TTAGTTAAAATGAGGATGTTAGAATATCCCTAATCCAACCTCACTGGTGTCTCATAAGAAGAAGAAATTTAGGTGCACAGAAAAACATCAGGAATTTGCTTACAATAGAGAAACCATATACTCAATTAAGAAGGCAGACACTGAGGTCAACACAGAGATCTCACTGGTTCCAGAGCTCCAAGAAATTTAATTTTCGTTGTTTAAGCCACCCAGTCTATGGCATAACAAGCTAATTCACCTGTCTGGAATCTTAGTCTTAAGAAATGGTTACAGATTTTTAACACTGCTAAAATCCCTGAAGTAACTCTGTTTACTGTGGGTCAGATATGGTACTTAGTGCTGTGGACACAGTGGAGAGCAAACAGGCCCAATATCTTCTCTTCAGTCAATGTTTACACAGGAGAGAGATATTTCACAAAGTGTGCATATGACTATATCCTGGATGAATGCTCTAAACTTACAGATAGATGTGTCCAACCTTTTGACATTGCACAAAACATCATCTACAAAGTTCACACTTCAGAATCTTTTATCAAGTCATGCATACACACAATCTAAGTAACAAATCCTTCATAATGTTTTAAGTAATGTTTTGTGCTGAGTGGCTTCCATAATTACTCTCAGCTGCACACTGCATATGCGTACAAGAAAAAGAGCAAGATACAACATGAGAAAATGAGGGGAGAGCAAGGTGAAATAAAGATGTGCATTTAGTGGTGCCAGGGCCCTGGGCAGGAAGCAAGGGAGACTTTTGAAACGTGTGATGCTTGAATTACAATCTGAAGGGGCTCACTAGGGAAGATAAGCTACTTATGTCCAGAGGATGAGCCCCATGCACAGGGTGGGGGGAGGGGGAGGCTGGTAGGCTGGGGAGTGGAGGCCAGAGAAGGGGATGCTAATGCTGGAGTTAAGGAAACACGGATTCCAGTAGAGCCATAGCACAGCTCAGACTAAACCACCTATAGGAGGTTTGCTCTGTGGCCAGGGTTGTTTTCTTCTTCCTCCTGTTAAGTATCCTAGCAGTGTTCTCCAGCAGTATTTTATAATCTCATTTTATACCATGAAGAAAAGCAGCAATACACCAAATGCTCTAGGCTGGAAGTGAAACGCAGATGTTTTGTACAAACATGCTCTTCCACTGAGGCCTCTGAAAACATGCCAAGAGCTTTGATCACAATATGAAGTATGCATTTAATATTCCCTTCTGTCTCAGACTCTTCAACCTGTTTTTGCTTTAATGTGTAATTCTGTGGGAAGTGGGCTTAAAAGTCAACTCTAATTGGTGACACGAAGAAATTTCTTTTTAAAGAATGGTTATTTGCTATGTAAGATCTATTTTTGGAAAATTTTTGTGCCCATCAAATAAATTTCCCTCAAATGGATCTGAAACAATATCTTAGATAGCTTAAAACAGCCTATTCATCTTTCTCCCATGCTACGGAGAGGCCCTGGCACTCAGATCAGGATTTTTCCACATTCTGAGCTTGCCCTAGACACTGGGCTCCCCAGATGCAGGGTGCAGTGGTCATTGCCTGTAAGTCAGTGACTGCCAAGTGCACTGACTCCCACAATAGGAAAGTGTTCACAGTATTGAAGAGAACCCACAGAAGAGAGCTCACACTATAGAAAGTGCTTAAACAGCACAGCTATTTCCACTGTGTATTCCCAACAATCTCTAGGCAGAGACTTTCAATGAAAGAGAAATCGGTTTCCAGAGTGCAGAACTCATTCTCTATGCCACTATGATGATGAATCTATGTCACTGTCAGACTGTAGAATGTACCAAACAAAGTGAACCTTAAAGAAAGGTATGGGCTCTGAGAAGAGATGATGTGTAGGTTCATCAACGATTGCAGGTATACAAGTGGTGAAAGGGTGTTGCAAAAGGAGATTCCGACTACTTGTTCTCTAGGACCCTGCCCCCATCAGCTCTGTGTCCTCTGTTTGGTATTCTGTTCCTACATCCTCTTCTCTATTACAATTATAAGTTTTATCTGTAATTTATCTCCAAAAGCAAATGTAAACATGTTAGTCTGTTAATTATAAAATGGATATTATTCATTAGGAGAATCCAGCCAGATTAATTTAAGCAAATGGCCAAATCAGAGGCAAGAAGAAAAATATGCTATATGAGCACCAGTGAGAAGTGTCACCTGCAATAAATCTGTGACCCCAATAGTATAAGGTAAGCAATATCATAAACTAAACATTTTCTAAACAGAGTAGATTAACTGAGTTTTAAATGCATCATAGATACTGGTTTATTTAGGAAACTATCCTTCATAATCGTGTTACTTCCTTTGTTTTTATATTTCCTGTGACACTAAGAGGTCATTGTAATAAAGTCAATCACAGTTTTTCTCTTGGGTTTTTTTTTTTTTTTTTTGCCTTGTCCCCATACCTGGAAGCTTCAAGCTACTCATACTCCTTGTACATGTATTATAGAAACATCATGATCTGGAACACTTAATTATGTTGAAATTAACTGAGACTGTAGCAGGCAGGCATTTTTTTAAAACATAAAAATGAAAATTG